CGCCTGGCCGCCCTCAGCGCCCGCGCCGACGAGGAGAGCAGGGACTACAAAAAGGTGGGACTCCTGCGTGTGTCGTTGTCACTGTCTGCACCCTAGAAGCGGCACGAGGCTGCAATGAGAACCTCTGGAAAGAGAGAGAGAAAGTTCATTTCCGTTTTCTGCTTCCTTTGCTTTTGGAATTCACAGCAGCCTTTTTCAAAAGCATCGGTCCTTCAGAGGGTCAAAAAAAAACAAGGGGTGAAAGTCACCTATCAGGGGGAGAGGGATTGAGGATTCAGGCTGGAGAAATGCTGGGAGGAGGTCGGAAGGAGCAAGAAAAGGTGCTGTTGAATATGTCAGCATGGCCCAAGCATGCATATCCCCACAATGAATTTCTACTGCTATAAGTGTCCAGAATTATTTCTTCTGTAGTCTCTGAAACTTTCAGCGTAATCCTTGACAGGCAGTGTTGTGGCCTGCCATGCACATCTAGTGCATGCTAAAGACCTTATGAAAAGTAAACAGAGAATTGATTCTGAAATGCCTGTGATGCTGGAGAGCCTCACATGGTAAGCAGCACCTGGCCAGGAGCACAGGCAGGGTGGCCAGCTTGTCCTGCTGGAGGAGTGGAAATTCCCCTGCTTTGAAGGAACTGAAGGGAAAAAGTCCATTTTGGAGTGGCATAAAATTGTCCTCCTTTCTCCTCGTTTTCAAATAAAAGCACACAAGAGCAACCAGGGTGTGTTGTGTTGGGAGCAGAACAGGATGAGGGGTTCAGATACATCCAGCCTCCATAACTTAATACTTGGTTCTGCTTGGTGGTTTACCTAAATTAAAAACCTTCCTTTCCTTGCCTCTTGACTGTGTTTAAACGCTCTACAAAATTAAACAGCTGTCTTCTTACTCTGTACGAATTCTGAAAACACAAGTAAAGCATCCAACTTAGTTTTGTTCACCCTTCTTCTGGCAGAGGGGAGGGATGGAGCTGCAGCAGGGACACGGGGCTGTGCAGGGCATGGTGGCCCCACTGGCGCTGCTGTGGCCGAGGAGCAGCCTGGCTGAGGGACTGAAAACTTCTGTGTCCTCTTCCAGTTATACGAGAGTGCACTGTCTGAGAATCAGAAGCTGAAGTCAAAACTGCAAGAAGCCCAGCTTGAGTTGGCTGACATCAAATCAAAGTTGGAAAAAGCAGCCCAGGTAAGGCAAAAAAATGGGCCCCAAGGCTGGGGCACCAGCACGTGGGAAAGGATTTAGCTCTGGAGAGGGAAGGTGCTACGGAGGGGACTGCTGGTTTTCACAGTGTGATTCTGTAAAGACTGCTGCTTCTCAGGGCAAGCACATCTGCAGGCTGTCTAGGCCTTTGTGCAGCACCCTGTGTGTGCCTCGTGGGTTTAATAGCTTTCTATTTTTAATTTACACAGCAGAAACAGGAGAAAACGTCTGACCGGTCCAGCATGCTGGAGATGGAGAAAAGGGTACGTGCCTGCTTGCCTCCCAGTCCCACCCACTGCCTCGTCTTGCTCTGCAGGGCATAGTAATTTCTTGAAGGAAAGTGTTAATTAAGAAGTTATATTTTTGTCTTGTGGAGCAGTGCACAGTGCTAATTGTGTCCTGACCTCCCAGTGTCTGAGACTTTCCTGCTCTCTTTACAGATCAGCTTCGATCTGATTTCTTTCTTTCGTTGTAGGAAGCTGCAGACCAACAAACTGTATTGTGCTAAGAGAGTGTTGGTCCACTATGCTTTAAAATAGTCTTGGTCCTTATAAATAAAAACTGTTTTGGGGCAGGGGGGACAAAGCAAAACACTATCTGAGTGTCTGTCTCATGATTATATATGAAATCTGAATGTTTGAGTGTTTGAGCACCCAGATTTGTAGCAGTAAGCTAAGCTAAACAGGCTGAATCTCTGCCCTAAGTGACCATAGCTTGGGCAGGTTGGAAGGGACTCAAGGAGGTCTGTAGTCCATCCAGGCAGATTCTACACTCAGTTTGAAACAGGTTGCTCAGGGGTTTGTCCTGTCATTTCATGAAAACCTCTGAGTGTTGTTTCCACAGCTGTAATCCCTGTTCCAGTTCTTAAATATTCTCATGGTGATTTTTTTCTTATATCTACTCAGAACATCCCCTCTTCAGCTGATGGCCGTTATTGTTCATTATCCCACCACATGCCTCAGTGGCTAATTAAAGCTGGAGCCTGGCTCCAGCTTATCAGTAATGTCCATTTACCTGTCAGTGGGTCACCTGAAATGGAGGTTCCTTCTAAAGTGTTTCATCTTCTGAATTTTTAGGAGCTTTGCTGGGTGGTTAAACCATGTGTTTACATTCACTTCCTACCATGAAAGACCTTAATTATTTATGTGTGAACATTTTGGGGAATTTGCAAGGCATGGTCTGGAGGAGGTGATGTTCAGGATCTCCACTTTGGACAGGAACAGTGAGTTAGACAGGGCACAGTCAGCCCTTGGTACAGGTGCCAGGTTTGACTGGTGAAGTTACCAAAGTTGCTGAAGCTGTGGGCTCAGCTGAGGATCTCTGCACCAGTGTGAGCCCCAGGACTGAGATGCTCAAAGCATTGATCCATGAGAAAATGATTTCTAGGGGTGCTTAAAGCTGCCAGGGTAGAATTGTCAAGCACACAGTCCTCACTGCCATCTGACAGAGCTGCTGGGCCAAGTCGTGGCACAGGTGGAGCTTTTCTTCTGAAAAAGAAGAGAGTGTGGTGGTCAGAGCACTTGCCCCAAGCAGAGGGAGCTCACACCGTGCATCCCATCTCCCACCTGAGAGATGCTTCCAGCCTGGGGCAGTGTCCTCCATCACTTCCCTTGAGTTAGGATTGCAACAGCTACAAAAATACAGATTTCTGAGAGCTAGAGAGACAAAGTGCCTGGCTATTTTCAGTGCAGGTGGCATTAACTGCTCCCAGGACAGCTTACACCCCTTGCACTGACAAACACCTGAAGTGTGCTGTGGACAAGTAGTGACCCTGAGCCCATTGTCCATGGCCACACTCAACACCTGTGTTTTCCTCACTCTCCTGGCCTCGTGTTTCCTTGCAGGGAGCAGAGGAGGGGGGCAGAGAGTGTAAAGCCTGTTCCTGACCTACATTTGCCACTTGCTCCTGCTCAGTGTGCTCTCCTGGGGTGCTTTCAGCTCTTCCATACAGAAAAAATCATGGATGGATCCAGATCTATCCTTCTAGGCAGGGTGTGTAGCTGTCCACAGAGGTCACCACCAGAGCTCACATGGCAGAGCCTACCTGTGTAATCATTGCTTTCCAAAATACCCTGAAAGTTGTCAGCTTTACAGCTTTGAAGCCCTGAATTAATCTGGGAGAAGCTGGATTTCCAGGCACCTTTCCCTGTTCATAGAATCATGGAATGGTTTGGGTTGGAAGGCACCTTGAAGATCTTCTGGTTCCAACCCACCTGCCATGGGCAGGGACACCTCCCACTAGAGCAGATTGCTCAAAGCCCCATCCAGCCTGGACTTGAACACCTCCAGGGATGGAGCAGCCACAGCTTCCTGGGCAACCTGCTCAATGTTTCTTATTTGATGGGCTTGGTGAGTTTTCTCCTTCCCTCCTTTAGCAGGGTGTAGTTAAATATTTGGCTTCCCCTACATGGCTCAAAATCCTGTTCCATCAGAAAGTCCTGAAAACTGAGATCACTAAAGGTAGGGGGTAGTTTCATTGAGGGGGTGTCAAGAGAGCTTGAGATGTGCTGGACAGGCCCAGCACCTACCACCAGCTGGCTTACCAGCTGCCCTCTCCCATCTGAGCAGCTGCTGGATGTGACCTGTGTGTTGTTTTGAGATGCTGTTCAGTGAATGCCCCTACAGAAATACAAGAAAGACTCTTACTTTTCTTTAAAAGAAAATGTACTGTAAGTTTTCCTTCTAAATCCTTGTGTCCATCTTTGTTATGAATCCTTGTAAACAGGAGAAGCGAGCTCTGGAGCGGAAACTCTCTGAAATGGAAGAGGAGATGAAGGTAGGAAATAATCTATTCACTCTGTTCCATTTTTTATGCTTTGTATTAATGTCTTTTGGAATTGTCACCTAGGAGCAGGATATTAAAGATGTACATGGGAAGGGACTCGTGTTACCTCTGAGCTTGTTCATTTGTACAGCCAGAACTTTCATGGCCGTGTTCTCCAAACGTGAAATACTAATAAAGCTGTCCTGTTATCCTTCTTCTGATTGCACCATGTGTTGAATTTGTTATGCTCTTTGATCTGAGAACTGTGAAAGCTGGTCTTCTTAAATGCTTTCCAAAACTAACCTTTTGTGGCATCAATGAGTTTCAGTGTGCTGATCCTCTGTGCTCTGAATAGTCTGCAGCCCAAGTTAAGCCTCCGTGGTTCTCTCCAGATGGGTAAGAAGACAAAGCTGGCTTTGAGATCACGCACACTAGCCAGGAAAACACAGAGTGGTTGTGTTTCTGTCCTGCCTTCCCAAAGCATGTCACTGGGAGGCTCTGTCAGTAAATCAGCCTGGAGTAGATTCCAGCAAGGAGGAATTTGCTTCCTGATGAACTGTGCAGCATGGCTTATGTCACGAGACATCCGCCACCGACTGCTTCTTCACCTTCTCTCTCTCATGGCACTGCTTCAAAGGATGGTTCTCCTGCCATGGCTTGGATGCCCTGTGAGCACGGGGCTGGTGGGGAGCACTGCAGAGCAGGAAGCTAAGTACCCCTCAAACCTCACGCTGGATTTGCAGCGTTTCATCGTTTTACTCTATTTTAATGCCCCTATTCACAGAACACCAATTTGACTCTGTGCCCTGCACTTCCACGCCCTCTGAGCATGACCCAGGTGGGACCAAGCTACTTTAAGAAGGAAGGACTCCATCTGAGAGCTGTGAGCTCTCCCAGCACTGGTGGAAACTATTTCCTACCATCCTGGGGGAGGCTCGAGGTTCGTTTCTGTTGGAAGCTTCACCGAGGGTGCGTCTGTGAGAGGAGCTGCATCTTCTGCTGCACCAAGTGGCAGAACCATTTGGTGGGGTCCTGCTGTAAAGGCCTCTTGTTCTCTCACCAAGGAGGAAACAAGTGTGGATGTGCCATCCAGAAGGGGAAGAAGAAAGGACTGAACATGCCTAAATTCCAAATTCTTTGTTCACTGAACAGGTAGCACACTTTAGCTCCAGAGAGACCTTCCTGTGGTTACAGAAATATGGCCTTCAAGGGGAAATGCAGACAGTAGCTGTTTGTGTTGTTTCTTCAGCTATGCAGATCACTCTGCAAACCAGCTCAGTCCATGGAGTAAAAAGACAAATTAGTGTCCTCTAGTGGCCTGTCTGTTTTGAAACATTTATATTGGTTTGGAAAGCAATTAATGAAAGAATGTGCCTGTAGGAGTGGTTGGACACAGCCAAAGCACCTCTGGTTCTTTGAGAGAGCTGCAGACTGATGGGAGCCAAGATGGTGCAAAAGGAGAAGCACTGCTAGAAGGTTGACACGTTCTTACGTTGCCCCGAGGGACGTGCTGGAGAACTGAGAGCCTGAAAATGAGCTGTTGGGTGCTGGAGAGTGGTACTGGCTCTGCTCTCTGCTGGGTTCTTGCTGCACTGAACAGCCAGAGTGGCCTTTCTTTAGTAGAGTATGTAGTCAGGAAATTTGAAAATATCTCCTCTAAGATGCTGCTCCCTTTCCACTAGCTTTTGCAAAACCTCAGGCACGTGGGTACCCGAGTGTGCTGTGATATGTGACGTCTTTTTTTGACAGCCACTCAATAAAAAGGAATATAAAGTCTCAGAAGATCAGAGTGCTGAACTGGGCACGTCCATAAAGAAAGCAAGCAGGCTTAGCTTTTGCAAAACCTCAGGCACGTGGGTAGGAGTGTGCTGTGATATGTGACGTGTCTTTTTTTGACAGCCACTCAATAAAAAGGAATATAAAGTCTCAGAAGATCAGAATGCTGAACTGGGCACATCCATAAAGAAAGCAGGCTTCTGTGTGCCTAAAATCAGGACAGTCAGCCCTGTCGTGTTTGCCTGGAATGAGATAACCTCAGCAGAGCATGTGTGTTAATTCAAGGGTAGAAGCTGAGCCAGGAGAAGAAATGTATTAATTCTGGTTGGACTTTGATTCCTGCCTCTCGTGCTGGCTGAATAGCTGTTGAGCAGAACCAGAAGGAATAAGACACTTAAGCAAATCCACCAGTTTCCTTTAACATGGGGAGCAGCGAGGGGAGACAGCCAAACGTGCCAGGTTGTTGGGGCTCAGGTAGTGCCATGGGGTTTGGGATTCTTCCCACTGATCTTTGGATTGAACCAGCCCAGCATGGCTCACATCCAGCTTTTTGATGCTGGAGCATCCGTGTCCAGTTCTGTGCATCAGATCTCCTGGCCAAGGCTTTCCTCTCCTGCCAGCTGACTCCTTAGGAGGAGAGGCACCACAGGGAGGTGGAGGCAGAGCAGCACTCACAGGACAGTCCTGGCTTTCTCTGGTAGGAACACTTTGTACTTCAAGATGTGCTTGAGCTTTGTTCTTTTCATGAGTTCCTTTCATGCAAGACAAACTCTGTAATCTCAAGAACTCCTTGGTGGCAGAGCTGCTCCTGCAGCCCTGCTCTCGTGAAGGTGACAGAGCAGTGCAGCGTTCTCCTAAGTGACTGGAGCAACTTGGCTGAGGAAGGAGAAAGAAAATTAACATTCGCCCTGAACTGAATTCAATGCCAAGTGCCTGAGGTCCCAACTTAACACAGCAATTTTTCTTGAAGGTCACAGAAGCGTCTATTCTGTAGCAGCACTGCACCTCCTGGCTTTGTACATCGTGCATGCTTTGGGCATTTTGATTTCCCCGAGCCTTGCAGGCACAAAAGGCTTTAATTGAAGGCAGGTACAGCTGAACTGAGAAACCTGCTCTCGGTAAGCCAGGTATCAAGCAGAGTGATAAGCAAGCACAGCAGTATCGTCCAGATTCTGGTCTTCACCCTTGGCTCCAGTCCCAGCTTCCCAGCCTTTGCTTTGGGTTTCTTGGATAAATAACAGGCTGTCCTACCTGCAGCACAGGCACTTTTTACATAAGTGATCCTTTTTATCCTCTGTGTCAGCGTGCTGAGGCTGAGCTGCATCTCATCGGGCCGTGACCAGGCTTTGTGCTGTGCTGGTGTGGAAGAATAAAGGTGGTCTCTAAAATGATCACAGTCCTTCCCATTCTGCGCAGCGTGACAGCCTGTTGTACATATGTTTGATGTTTTCTGCCAGCCAGCTGCTCAGCTGTGTACCCTGTGATAAAACAGAGGACATTTATTATCCATGGTACCACCAAAAGAAATTACTCTTCCAGTATGAACCATCCTCCAGTGAGTCCTGCATGTGATTTGTCACAGGACAGATGTGTGATGTCCATCTGGGTGCCCACCGAGTGCAGGGGGAGCAGGAGGGCTCAGGCAGGAGGTCTGGTGAGAGGGGATCTTGCTGCTGAAATGTCCCTGCAGCTCTCCTGCAGCCCCTTGGCCAGAGCTCTGTCTCAGGACCTGTTGATTTATCCAGTGTCAGAATTGTGTTGGTGTAGTCCCAGTAGCAGGAGCTGCTTTGTCAGTTTGATGCCTTCAGGGGGCTCAAAGCCCATCCTTGGCTGACTCCATGTGCTCACCTGCCTTGGTCCCCATGGTTTTGCAAGGCTTTTGGATGGGGTATCTGGATTCCTTAGTGGGGGAGCAGAAGTAGTGCTGCTGGGTAGCTAAGAATGGAGCTGAAGGATGGAGGCTACACAAAGTGCTGCTCTTGTATGCAGGAATGAGCCCTTGGGCAAAGTGTGCTGGGGTGCAGAAGTTCTCCCTGCCAGTAGCAGCCAGCTCTGTGGCGTGCAGGTTGGGTGGAGGTCCCTGCAAGTTCTTTGTATCATGGTAGATTTGCCTGTGCTGCTTCTGGTTAAGGACAGAGAGTGACCTCCCGCTGAGCACTTTCTGCTAATTAAGTGGCAGAAAGGAATCCCCTTCCCAGCAGACACTTCCTCCATCTCCTCCCTGCCATTCCAGGCTCACAGGTTAGAAGATGCAGGGAGGAGCACGTTGTCTTGTGAAGCTGCTTTGGTTCGGGGCTGGAATTTTTTCACTTGAACTTAAAACTACTCTTCTCACAGATATTTCCCTTCCTGCCTCTTCCCTGCCTGGTATCTGTGCTGCTTCCACCATGGCAGAGGTCTCTTGTCCATGTGGCTCTGCTGCCCGACGAGCTGTTGGGAGGAAGGAGGGAGAGGACACTGCTGGGAGAGCAGCTCTGCAGCCCTCAGCATGTCCTGGCTCCTGGGCTTGGTATAAATGTCCAGCACATGGTTTTGCTTTAGCATCACTGGAAAATGTTGTTCTTGTAGGAACGCTGATCTCCACCTGGCTTGTGCCATTTTCCTGTTGTGCCTCCCTGCCTGCCTTTCTCTCTGTTGTTCTCCCTGTTGCCACTGTACCTGTGCTAGCCCCAGCTTTGGGGCTCAGTTCTGACACTGTCCTTTGCCCTCTTGTTTGTTCTGTAACCAAGAATGCTGTGTTTCCATGTGCCTCCTGGGTAAGATGCTGTCATTCAAACTCCTCTATTTAAAATCAGCAGTTTAAGGTTCCTGAATTCCTACCTCTGGACATCAGAAATAAATTGAGCCCTTTGGCAGAGAAGAGCTGAATCTGAGCAGGGATGAAAAAAACCCCACACCAGAGCTTTTGTGGCAGTGGCCTGCTGTAGGACAGTGACACTGGCAGGTGCTTCACTGAGGCTGTAACATCTCCCATGAAGCTCTGATCGCTCTTTGCTGCACCAGACTGCTTTAGCTTTTAGAGACACATGAAGAAAAGGAATCTTAAAGAAATTCTCTGTTTCCAACAGTGTTTTCAGAGCCTGAGTTGGTGGTAAGTCAACAAGGGTAGTTCTCACCGTAGTTGCTGAGTCCAGGGCCTGGGTGCTGCTGGAGCTCACTGTCTGGGTGAACCAGAATCCAACCCACAAGAGACTGTCCTGCTTTGTGGTGGGAAATCCCTTTAGTTGACCTTTATGAAGGCTTTGGAGGCCCCTGGAGAAAGGGATGGTCCCCAAGACATCCTCGGTGTGTTGTAAGACTTTCCCAACTCGCATCCCTACTGCCCACCAGCACTCACTGCTACTAATTTTTCTTTTCCTCTCTTTTTTTTTTTCCTTGTGGACTAAATTCACATTTCTGTGCCCTTCTGTCTTCATGGTGTGTTTTCTCTGTATTTTTCTGTCCACTCCTCTCACTCTCTGCAGAATCTGCACCAGCTCAAACAGATTCACACTCTGAGGCAGATGAATGAGCAACTGCTGGCTGAAAACAGGGCTCTGACCCGGGTCGTAGCCAGACTTTCTCTGCCTGCCAAGCCCTCCGAATCAGAGGAGCTGTAGCTGCTTTCCCTCGGGCTCATCTCGCCTCCCTCCTCCACTCTTCCAGGCAGGTCTCCGCTCCTGGCCGGGCTGCTCTCCCTCGCCTTGCTGCTCTCCAGGGGGTCTGAGGAAGCTTGTGGCTCAAAAGCAGCATGTGGCAGAGGGTCCCCTGAAGGCAGACGTGTGGTGTTCCTGCCTGGCTGAAGGCAGGGCTTCACTGGAGGCTCCCTCCAGTCCTGCTGGCTTTCCCTCTGCTTGGCAGGTGCTCCTGACCTCGCCCTTTACTAACCAGCCACGTCAGGGGGTTGCCTTCTCCACATGAAGCCATTCATCTGGGAGAGGAGCAGAAGGACGAGCTCCTCTAGGGCTGGTGGGTGGCAGTGAGATGGCTACTGAGGAGTGATGGGTCGGCTGCTGCCCTGTAGCTTGGGCATGGCTTTGGAGTGGTCAGTGCCAGGGGTTAGCCTGCAGCCCCTTCCCCATCACCTTTCCTCAGAGATGTGGTTTGTGCCATGTGTCTGCTCGTGATGTAATTATTTTTCAGTTAGACTTAGCTCAGTGAGGAGCTGGCACCCAGCAGATACGATTATTCAAAGTCAGAGTGAACAGTGTAATAAATTTGTAGGGATATTATGAAACAAGCACATTTTAAGACCAAAGGTGAGTTTTAGAAAACCTGTCACTGGGCAGTCCTCAGCAGGTTTTCATGGTCACTTGAGCAGAGAGGAGAAGCTCCTTCCCTCATTCTGACTAGAGATCTTTTAGCCCGAGTTCATAGCATCCCCTGTGCCTCCTGTGCTCTGGCTGCAAGGCAGGAGCTGGACCAGGGGCACTGGCTTTTTTCTTCTCCTGTTTTAAATTCAGTGCAGAGCAATTAGTGTTTGAAATCCAAGGACAAGCCCTCCATAAGCTTTGCCCTCGCACATCATGCAGTTAAATTACATCCTTTCTTGCTACTTCATTGGTTCAGTGCTAAAATAAAGCTGTAGATACTGCTTTCATAGGGCCCTCCCTGTCTTCTGCAGGTTAGTAGGGGTATTCAGATCCCTTCAGACACAGCTATTAGTTAGGAGAGGAAGAAGCAGTTTGCTGTCGTGAGCTGGAAGTGGCACTAAGGTATGAAGAATGATATTCTTAGCCCACAAATTATATCAAGGATGATTAACAGTAGGAACAAGCTAACAGGGGAATTGTGGCTTCCCCGTTCTGGGAGTCAGTTCAGGACCACACGTGTATCACAGGAGCTGAGAGAGGGGGTGGCTCGTGTGGTGTGCCCTGAATTGTGCACTCAGGTTAGATGATCTCACTGTCTTCCTGGTGTCAGTCTGAGGCAGTGTTCTCAGACCTGCCACTGACTCATTCCTTCTTAGAAGCCATGAGCTTAAGTCATCCTCCTTCCCAACATGCTTTGAGATCTGAGAGCGAAAATTGAGCCAGACTGTTCCCAGCCCCAGCAGAATGCTGTTCCACCCACGGCAGGTCACGGGGCTCTCCTCCTCCTCCTCACAGGACTCGCTGGGACACCCCTCTGCTCTGACGTGCCCTGTCCCCTGCAGCCCGCGGAGACTTGGCTGGACTGACCCTCCCCAGCTTGCTTGGAGGTTTGCTGGAGAAGAGCTGCATGTCTGCCAGCCCTGCTGGGCTTGGTCAGTGCTTTCAGGAGGTCTGACAGGATGGTGCTGGTGCCTGTGAACCCTGTCCCGCCAGGGTCTGTACCACAGCTGTGCAGTGGTGGCACTGGTTTAAACTGGCAGATTTGCCATGCTCCTGAAGCAGTGGTGCTTATCAAAGAATCTCATTTCCAAAATTCCCACCATTTCTGAAGTGCCACCTTCCCTGGTGTCCCAGGTAACACACAGCACCCCTAGACCAGCCTCTAGCCCAGAGCTCCCTTTGCAGCGACACCGCAGTGAGCGCCAGCATCCCCTTCGGGCTGTGCCACATCCCCCCTGTGCCACATCCCCCCTGTGCCACATCCCCCCTCGCTGCTTCCAGCAAGCCCTTGGCAGTTTCTGTTCCAGGCCCTGCATTACCAGCCTGCCTCACGTGCCCTTTATTTGACCTGACTTGAGCTGCTTTGCTTCCAAGGGAGGCAGGAACGACCATGGCCTGGCAGCAGTGAAGTTTTATACAGTTTGAGCGCCAGCATCCCCTTCGGGCGGTGCCACATCCCCCCTATGCCACATCTCCCCCCATGCCACATCTCCCCCCATGCCACATCCCCCCTGTGCCACATCCCCCCTCGCTGCTTCCAGCGAGCCCTTGGCAGTTTCTGTTCCAGGCCCTGCATTACCAGCCTGCCTCACGTGCCCTTTATTTGACCTGACTTGAGCTGCTTTGCTTCCAAGGGAGGAACGAACACCCTTGGCCTGGCAGCAGTCAAGTTTTATACAGTTGATTTTTAGTTTTCAGAAGGCTTCACTGGTGATAGAGTGGGCTGCAGCCAGAAAGCTTTTCAAGAAGCTCTTGATTTACATGTAGATGTGCTCCTTCCTTTTCAAATAAGTCACCAGAGCTGTGGGGAAGCTCAGGGGTGAGGCACAGCCACCGTCAGAGCTCCAGGGAGCTGCACAACTGGGGTGGTCACTCTCGGGTGTTGCTTCTGGGAGCTTGTGACAGATTATCTCTACCAAAGCAAGCACCAGAACTTCATATACTCCCTGATTTCAGTGATGGGCACGTTCTGGGGTGCAAGTCCACCCCAAGCAGTGGTGCAGAGAGGCCAGGCTGTCTATCTGCAGAGCCCAGGAGGTGGTTGAGTGGTCACTGTGCTGTGTGACTGGAGGGCTCTGTGCTGTGTGGAGGGTGCTCGATGCAGCTCAGGAGTGCAGAGGGAGACAGCAAATGCTCTCCCTGTTTCCCTGGGCTCCTGAGCACCTCGGTGATGGGTGATGCCTCTCTTTTGGCCATGAGAAATGGCACAGGGAGTCGTGCCTGCTGTTCTGGTGGCAGCCCTGTTGTGGAGCTGTGCCTGTCACACCGCTGCTGGGTCCAGTGAGATGCTTTTAAGCATGATGAGCTGAAGCTCCAGCCAGCCAGTTACATGTTTTATCCTTTCTCCCTCCTCTCTTGCAGAACCTCCCTACTGGAGCACCCACCTCCAGTGGGGATGGGGACAGGGTTGGGTGCACTGGGGCCAGGCATGGCTTGGCCTGGCTGTGGCAGGAGGGATTGCTCCAGGCAGGAGCTGGCAGCTGCCTGGGCCTGGTGACTTGGCCAGGAAGAGGCTGGCAGTGAGAGGAACGGGCAGGAGGTTGTGTCCAGAGCTGAAACTCCAGCTTTGGAGTAAGGAGAAGGTTTGAATTTGGGGGAATTCCTCTGAGACCTTGGCAGAGAGGATTTGGTGCCTGAGTCTGACCCTGCTCCACCCGAGCGTGTTCCAGCAGGTTCTGGGGCTGGGCACCCTCAGGGCTGCTGGCACCCACAGTGCATGTTATGTCTTCTGTGTCACCCCAAGGAACATGGGGCCTGAAGGTCCCCTGCCTGCAGCATGGGAAGCAAGGGCAGTGGGAAGGTTTTTGCCATGAGGAATGCTGGAATTGTGCTGGGGAAGCCAGTTCTTCTTCTGCTGCCACCTAAGAGCTCTCTGGCTTTTGTCCCTTAGTTGAGCTCTAGCCTCCAGAATTGAGCACCAAGGAGATATCTCCAGGGTCAGGATGTTCTACCAGTGCTCTGGCCATGGCATGTGTGTTTGCATTGAACATCTGTGAGATCCCAGAGAGTTTGGGGGTTATTCTGCAGAGATTTTGCAAGCCAAGCTTGGTTGCAGTCCTGAGTTAGAATTTCAAACTTTTGTTTTCCCCTCTGGTCCTGGCAAAATGGAACAAACAAATTAAAAAAAAAAAAAAGAATAGCTTTATAGATTTTTGCCAAGCCCTGTATAGGCTCTGGGAACAGGTTTGGGATGAAGCAGCTCAGAAATGGTTCCTGCCTTCCCAGGCTGGCCCTGACCTGGTGCTGGGGCCATGACATTGCTGTCACTGTAGGTTTCCCTGGCTCTGGGGGCTCCGTGGCTCTCTGCTGTGCTCGAGTCCCCTCCCAACCCCTCCACACCTGCTGCCCAGCTTATAAAAGTCCTGGAGGCATTCCAGGTCAATGGTCGACGCTCCGAGTGCTGGGTGGAGGGTGGAGGAAGGAAAGCTGCACGCTGCTCTGAGTGGTGAGGAGCACACAAGCCAAGCATCCAGGTGCCACCCTGGCCACAGCAATGCCACGTCCCTGCTGTGCCCCCTGGCCCGTGGGGCTGGTCAGGCTGGCAGTGCTGAGCTGAAGCCCTGCCTTGTCTTTGTCTCTCTGCAGATTTTGACAGAGCTGAAGTCGGACAACCAAAGGCTGAAGGATGAGAACGGAGCCCTCATTCGTGTCATCAGCAAGCTCTCCAAGTAGGACTCCTGAGCAAAGGCAGGACGAAGAGGGGTGCCCTGCACGAGCTGCCAACCCCACCACCAGGCCCCCCCTTCTCCTGTCCCGTACAGCAAGCGTCTCAGCCATGGGATCAATGTCACACCTGCCTTGCCCTGCCCTTTGCTGCCCACTCCCTCGTTTCCCCCACAACACACCCCCTGGCATTTTATTGTTTTTAATTTAAGCATGTCGTGGTATCTTGGACATTTTATTCAAGGGAGAAGAGGAATGTGAGGACTGTTTGAGCTGCCAAAATTTCTTCTTCCAGAAGCTCAGTGTTTGGTGTTGGGCTCTGGTCTGGAGTAGGTAGCTCCTACTTCAACAAGTGACACCTGAAGAACTAATCCAGCACATCCAGGCCCTGTACAGGTGGGAATGTGAACGTGGCTGGGACTCTGAGGATGCACATCAGCCCACCAAGATGTGGGACTCTGGTTAAAACGTGATGCTGTGAAAGCCACCAGGGCTGTTTTCTGCAACAGGCTGATGACAGCTGATTTGCACAGAGACCTTCTCCTTTTGCCCCCATAGGCCGAGTCTTTTATTTAATACAAGTTTCCAAACCTGTTCAGTAACAGCAGTGCTGACTCTCCACATCAGACCCTTTACCCCTCACGCTGCCCTTCCCTCACAGCCTGGGTGACTTGGTGTCATGCTGTGTCCTTCCAGGGCTCCTCTCTTCGGTGTGGCATCTGCTGATTGTTCCTGGACTCTTGCTCCTTGGGGTAGGGTGTACCACTGATATGTGCCAAGCTTCCTGAAGGACAGGCTTGAACCCCTGGAGATCCTCTGCTGCATATGAGCGTGAATCCCCTTGCAGGGAGCTGTGTCCTCACCAGAATCCAACCTCCCCGCCTTGGCAGCCACCTGGGACATTTTCCTGCCATCTCCATGAAGGCAGAGCCCTGGAGAGGAGCCTGGTCTGGTGTTTTGGGCTCTCTGCTCTGATTTGCAGCAGGAGGCTGAGCAGGCGAAGGGCAGCACTGGTTTGTTTGCAGAGGGAATGCCAGAGTCCTGTGCCACCCCCCACCCGTGGGGGCAGAGGCTTGGCAGAGCTGGGTTTCAAGGCATGAGGCAGTGACCACCAGTCCTCCCGCGTGCCTCGGGAAGGTGTGTGGGGGCTGGGGAGCTCCCCGTGGGCACTAGAACCAGTCTTCTAGTCTGTCAGAAGCTTGCAGTAAGCCTTGAAGAAAACCTAAAAAAAAACACCCTCTTTAATGTTATGTGTACTCGGAACAGTTTGAAATTGTTCTCTCTATGGGCATTCAGACAGTGGCTCCTCCACGTGCTGTGTGGTTCTGATGGCAGCTGCAGTCACCTGGCATCAGATCTGTTGAGCTTCCTCTGGAGCAATAAAACACCTTCCCTCCCAGGGACTCCTCACTGCATCCAAACCACTTCCCCATATATCTCCTTCCATATTTGTCCCTTCATTCCCTTTATCCTTCCATTTCCCTGCTCTGGCTGGCTGGGAGTTGCAGTCTCAGCCTTTGAACTTGGAGGTTGCCATGAAGAAGTTCTGCTTCTGTTCCTGGGCACCTCTGCTGACTGAGCTCGTGGCTCCCGCCAGGCTGGTGGGACTCCTGCTGTGAGAGAGAGAGGTGAGATACTTGAACATGAGCAAAATTCTTGAGCTTGCTCAATAGGGTAAAATTTATCTCTGTCAGTCCTGGCCTTTTTGGAACCTTTTTCTGGTTGCTGCTTCAGAAAGTACATTTCTTTCATTTCTTTCACTCTCCCTTGGGTTTTTTTTTTCCTTTGGTTTTGGTGTTTTTTGTCTAGTTCTCCATTTTTTCACCTTCCCCTCCCTGTCCTGCCTATTTCCACCTCTTTAGCTCTTCTTAGAGATGCCAGTTTTCCCCCAGGCAGCTCTAGACAGAGGTTCTTCTTCCACAGCTCTTCAGCCAGCGGAGCTGTTTGTGCACAGCACGAGATGCCAATTCCCCTGGTCCTCTGAGGCCTTCCTCTGCTGCTGTGCTTCAGGGAGGAAGAGACCAAAGCTGGCAGTGGCGTCAGGGTTTCTGCAGAGCACAGCCGAAGCCAGGCATCCTTTTTGTATTACTTTTTTTTAACCCTGCTATATTGAACAGCTTTAAGTCCTGAGCTCTGGTCAGTGTTTTCCCCGCACGCCGCTCCCACTCGGTGCACTCTTCATGTCAGTCCTTCTGCAGTTCTTGGTGTTTCTTCTCTTGGTGACCCGCTCCTCGCCTCAGACTTGGGCTCCCTCAGCTCTGCAGAGGAGCCTGGTCCCTCCTGTGCCACGCGGAGCAGCAGACACCCTCCTGCTGGGGCTGGGGAGCGCTGGCACCTCGGGCCACGCGCCCCGGCAGGAGCAGGGCGAGGTGTCAGCCTGGAGAGCGTGTTCTACTCGGGCTCCTGGCAGCAGGAGAAGCTGCTGTCTGTTGTAGGGACAGGGCTCAACCCAGGCTGGCAAATCCAGCCTGCACTGACGTTTTGCCCCTTCCTGCCAGGACTCTGGCTGTGCCGTGCCCGAGGGACAGCGTGCGGAGGGTCTCTCCTCTGCTGGGCACCGAGCATCCCCCGCCTGGGGCACAGGACCCACCGACAGTTCAGCCTCACTGACCAGCCAAAGCTGTGAGTGTCTCGTGAGGACGAACCAGATTGTTGGGAAGTGACATTTTTGTTTGGTGTCACTTAGTGCCTGACGTAAGCAGAGCACTGAGGGTACCGAGCCGGACGCTGCGCCCGGGCCGGAGCGTGGGGCACGTGGGGCACGTGGCTTTTAAACCCAGCCCCTCTGGAAGCAGAGCATTCGCCAGACGTCAGCTCTGCTGGAGAACACAAGCTTTCTTTTTTCTAAGCAATTGCTTGGGGTGAATTTGTTTTTATTGCTTGGGGTGAACCCGCCTGTTGTGGCTGCGAGTTTGATGATGGCTCTTTGTAAATAAACTCCTTGGAGAAGCAGGACTAGCTTACAAGATGGGGAGAGAATGTATTTTTATGCAACTTTGAGTGGCCTTTCAAACCCTGAGATGAATGACTTTGTTTTACTGATTGTTGTTATATAGTATTATAAGTATTATGTGTTTGAAAGTTTGGGAATAATATTCACATCTATGATGCCTGTAAACACAACAGTATTTATAAATGAATAAAATAAGAGTTGATAAAATAGAAGCCTTGATTTTGCTTCTGTCTTTCTGGAGCTGCAAGTTCTTTAGCCACCAGGATTTCTGTAGCACTACAGTAGCCAGTGGCAGTAGAAGCACAGATGTTCTGCAGCCCGGGGAGGGGCCACGCTGCCCTGTGTGCCTGCCCAGGGAGCACTCCAGCGGAGGAGCTGCGGGTGCACATCTCTGGGAGCCACCCACCAGGACAGGAGAGGGTCCCACGGACACCTGAACCACGGCGGGTTCAGGCCCATCCCGTAGGATCGTGGGATCTCCCTCCATGGTGCTGAGCCCTGTAGCTGCTCTGCTCAGGAGCTTGGTCAGGACAAACACACATCTTGGTGCCACGTCTTGGAGCCTTTGTCCCGAGCGAGGCTGCTGGAAACCTGCATGTTCTGGTCTCCAGGGGTGGCCACTGCAGCCTGAGCTCTTCCCCAGGGGGTCAGGGGTGTTCAGTGCCTCTGCAAAGCAGGGCAGGACCTAAACACAAATACACGAACCAAACCAGATCTGTTGGGGCTGAAGTATTTGGTGGGAACCAAACACTGGCCCAGGTTGCCCAGAGAGGTGTCAGAAACCCCAGGCTGGCCAGGGCCAGGCCAGAGCAACCTGCTCTAGTTGCAGATGTCTCTGCTCAGTGCAGGGGCTTGGACCAGATGAACTTTGAAGGTTTCTTCCCACCCCGTCCAGTCTGTGATTCTATGTCTGGGCCAGCCACGCTCAGCCTGGGCACTGGGGCTCAAGGCTGCCCAGAGACATCCCCAGCATGTGGGTGAGCTCCCTCATGTTTCGGGGGGACCAGGGCCCTCACAGTGTTCCCCTCATGCCTCCACCTCCCCATCATCCCTGGGCTCAGCCCTGGGACCTGTCTCCTGCCACACACTCCCCACTGGGCCCCAGCAGAAAGACCAGAAGGGGACCAGGGCTCCTTTCAGCTCATTTCTTTAATAAGGAGACAGATATCATTACAAAATAACCATGTAACGATAAGAGACAGAAACAACAGAGTCCACACGAGAGGAAGGGGCTTTAAAAGCAGCTTCCCGCCGGAGCCGAGCGCTGCGGGGCCGGGACGGGGCTGAGCAGGGGCCGGCACGGGGGGTCCTTTGCTCCAGGGGTGACTGAGCCTGTGACTCCAGAGGAGCTGGCTCCTGCCTCCCACCTTGAGGGGAAAGAAAGGAAAAGAAGGCCGAGCTTGTTGCCAAGCCTCATGGATTCATTTCCTTCCAACCCCGGGAGACCGAAGCCGATCCCCCCTGCGGCACAGCCCCACGTTCCATCCCCGAAACAGGAACCACCCGACGGATGTCGCAGAAATAACCCAAACAGCTCCCAAAAAATCCTTTTGCCACCAGATCGTTACTGCACCTCAGATCTTCCATTGCAGAAGTGGCACCAGCAGGAGGCCCCCAGT